GAATAGCATTTTTTACGATCTTCAATGACAATTTTTTTTTTTTTTACCTTATGTCCGTAAGAAAGATCTTTTTGTCTCTACCTGACTCACTCCCACCATCCTATTTATTCCATTCATTCCAAAATTACATAAATCCCTAACATGTACAGTTCGTCTCTGCCTCCAGATTGCCGGCTTCTGATGGTTTTTTGCTCCCCACTTTCCTTCCAGTCCCTTGCCTTCTTTTTCATCTTCCTGACATCTTCCTTTCTCTCTTGTTTTGTTTCCTCTTTTATTCACTTATGCAAGTGTAGACTTTATCTTGTTTAGTTTGCTTCACCCTTTTTTTTTCTTCTTTTTTTTGGTTCCTTTCCCTTTAATTTACTTTGTTTCCCGTAGATTTAGCCTTAAATTTGCTTTGCTTATTGTACAGTAAGCTCTCTTTCTGCTAACTTCTTCTCATTTTCTCTTTCCCCCTCTTAGATCTTGTGGTTTGGATGTTATGATTATACAGACGCAAGTCAAGCGACAATCATTTTGACTTTTTGTTCTTTTTTCCAGACCTGTAATTTGTATCGCTCGAAATATAATGTACTGGTACGCAAGATACCAGCGGGTCAATATTTGACCGACATAACTGAAATTTGATTGGATAAAAAATCGTAGGTTAAAACCCCGATTCAATCCCTCAACTTTCATTTTTGAACTAAAACTACCCTCAAACTTCAAAAAGTATTAAAAAAATCCTTAAACTTCAATTTTTGGGACCAATTTCGTCCTTCCGTTGACGGAAGTGCCAGATGACACATTAAGTTGCCACGAAATCGATTATTGTTTGAAATATTTAATTACATAGAAAATAACTTATTATCCACGTCATTTTAATTAATTTATATATTAAAAAATTTAAAATTTCTTAAATACCCCCAATTAACACCGATTATTCCTCATTACTCCGGTCATCTCTTTCTACTCCAATCACCATCTCCTTCTTCCCCAAACCTCCCAAACCTCCTCTCTAATGAAACCCAAATCTGGTTCCTCGCACAATAATAATGGCTAATAGATTTGATTCAAAAAATCAATTACTCTGTAAACTTATACCAAATTTATAAAAATTCAACAAATTAATCATATTGCAAACTTATACCAAAT